AAAAAAAAAAAAAAAAAAAAAGCACTCTGGGCCGGGTGTGGTGGCTTATGCCTGTAATCCCAGCACTTTGGGAAGCTGAGGCAAGAGGATTGCCTGAACTCGGGTTCGAGACCAGCCTGAGCAACATGGCAAGAGCTTATCTCTCAATAAATCAAAAAATTAGCTGGGTGTGGTGGCACATGCCTGTGGCTCTAGCTACTTGGAAAGCTGAGGTGGAAGGATTGCCTGAGCCCAGCAGGTTGAGGCTTCAATGGTCGTGAGAATGCCACTGCACTCCAGCCTCAGTGACAGAGTGGACAGAGTGAGACTTCGACTCAAAAAACCAAAAAGTCACTAACTGCATCATGGAGAGTGGATGGAAGGGGGCAATACCAGAGACAGAAAGCCTGTGAGGAGGCAGTTCAGATGTCTAGGTGAGAAGTTAATGTGTTCTGAACCTGAGTCGTGCCATTGGGGATAAAGTGATGTAGACAGAGTTTAGTAATATTTAGGACATTTCATTGAGAGGATTCTGATGGCTGGGATAAGGGGACAGAGAAAAGAGTCAAAGATGAGGCCCAGTTGTGTTGCTTGGGTACCTGGGTAGTTGGTAACCCCAAGAGCCACTGGAGGAGAAACAAGTTTTGAGATGTTAAATTTGATTTGGGGCATGTTGAGTTTGAAATGCCCAAATTTTCAAAAGGATGTGTCCATTCCAGTCAGCAATTGAATGTCGGAGTCTGGAAGTGAGGTGAGAGCCATGTGAATGGTTGGCATATGGCCTCAGCATGAAGATAAAAGCCAGAGGAATGGTGAGGTGGTCACAGGGGTGTGTTTTGAGAAAGGAGGAAAGGGCCCAGAATGGAACCCTGTGGAGTGGTATTTAAGAGGATACCTGAGGAGGAGGAGAAAGTTGTAAGGAGATTCAGAGGAGGTAGCTAGAAATGAAGGTGTCAGTCATAGCAATTCAACTGCTTATTCAATTGCTCTAAGTCAGCATTTACTGACTGTCTATATGCCCTGTGTATATTTGGATACTTGATCCTTGACTTGAACTCAGACTAGTAGCCATCACCTGATCACAACCTTCTGAAACAAGAAGCCCCTTTCTCACAGACCAATGAACAGTCTTATTTTCTGAACGGTAGACTGTGCTTCTCTAGCAGTTTATACAAGGCACTAGAGTCCTTCCCAGGACTCCTCCTGTATCACCCAGGCCCAAAAAAACTCAGCCTGGCAGCCAAGCCAAGAGCCTCTATCTGTAAGGAATGAATTCAAGACAGCCTAAGCGGGACACCCTAAAGTTGTCTGCAGGGGATGGAGGGAAAGGAGTCGTCATGTCATATGCCTGGGGTTCAGCAAACTGTAGCCACACACCAGGTACAGAAACACACAAGGAAGGCACCCCCGCTCTGTGGGCGAGACAAAGAAGCAGTGCTCTTCCCACATGCCAACCCATCTGCTTCTTTGCCTTCGCAAACATGCCTTTTTTTTCTTTCTTTCTTTTTTTTTTTTTGTTTCTCTGCAGCTTTGAATGCATGCGGAAGAAGAGTAGGAGACAGGAGGAAAGGTAAGGTTGGAAGAGGACAAGAGGAAAAGAGGGGAGTAAGGGGGAGTCTCCATTGACCACCAACACAATAAATTTTATCATGAACCACTTCAGCCTGGCCCCTGTTTTGCAGTGCATGCATCAGTTTCCTCTGGGCGGAGTCCCAAAAGAGATGGCCAATGCATGGCTGTGGCCTCTATAGGTTTAATTGATGGTACACTTCTCAGTGTGTTAGAGACCTTGGAGGCCCACTTCCATCTATCCCCTCACAGAGGTTGGCACAGGCTCCACAGGACAGCTGGGCACAGGCTTTCCCTGTCCTGGTACCTTTGATTTGATGGTGTCCTCAATCTCCCATCACCTGGGGCAGTAGGCTCCCAACTGTCCTAAGTCCAAGGCAGCAGGAATAAATACCTTACCATACCTGCACGTTAGCAGGGTAGGAGGTAGGGGGTAGTGCTGTGGGGCATGACTGCCCTATGTGAAGACATTTGGGAGGCACCCATGAGGTGGAAGGAATGGGGGAAGGTATGCAGGTGGGAGAACAGGGGTTCTTTCTACCCTCCACCATTTCAGAGACGTGAGGCTTGGCCTGAGTGTAGGAGGCCATTGAGCCTGACTTCAAGCCACTGAAGGAGAGGGGTCAAGTGGCTGTTCTAGGGTTTGATCCATGCCCACCCAGAGCCAGGTAGGCATGATGGGCAAAGCCTGAGGGTCTATGTTCTTTTTGTTCTGGCCTTAGGACCCTCCTTGTAGAGGAGAAAGTCAGGGGTCTATCCCTTCCCAGCATTGGAGAGCAGGGATTTTCAGTGACAGCTTCAGTTGACCCCTGGCTGGGATGACATTTTTCCATCCTCTATTTCTTTCCCAAGCCCTGCCCTCTCCTATGGATTGAGCTGTGAGTTCGTGCAGGCCCAGTCCCTCCCATCTGCATTTTCCCAGGACCTAGTCAGCCAAGGTTCACTTCCTCTTTCCCCACCATACCAGCTATGCTTTTGGAGCAAGTCCTGCCCTAGTAGTGGGTCTCTTGTGGGGCCACAGGCCTGAGGAGCTCCAAGGGTTGGTTCTGGGACTACCACCCTGTTACAGGGGCCCATGTGGCCAACTTTAGATGCTGGCTTGGTCTCTGTCACTTGTTTGCTTTCTCCACCCCATGCTACCCCTGTTGACCACCCAAAGGGCTGAGCTGCAGCATCCCATGCCACTCTTTTTTTTTTTGAGTTGGAGTCTCACTCTGTCGCCCAGACTGGAGTGCAATGGCCGCTCCCAGCCACCGCAGCCTCAACCTGCTGGGCTCCGGCGATCCTTCCGCCTCAGCCTTCCAAGTAGCCGGAATTACGCTACCACACCTGGCTGATTTTTTGATTTATTGTAGAGAGATGAGGTCTCGCTGCCCAGGCGGGTCTTGAACCTGTGGGCTCAGGCAGTCCACTCACCTCAGTCTCCCAAAGGCGCGGGGTTACAGGCTGAGCCACCGAGCCCAACTCCATGCCACTCTTCATAGTTACAGAGGGAGCACAGAGCTGTGCCAATGTGCTGAAGGCTGTATGCCTGCCCCCACCCCCACCCGTCTGGAATGAGCCACCTGCATCCACACACAGGTGTTTCCTGTGCTCCTTCCTGTTGCCGTTTTTTACTGCTCAGCTTGGCTTCCCCAACAGGTGGATAAGGGCCCAACCAACCTCTTTATACACATCTCTAAAACGCTAGGGGCAGGGCCCCCTGGGGATCTGGGTCATCCCCCCCTACCCGGGACTGTTGGCGATTTATTGGCTCTTCCTGAGTGCAGGCACATGTGCACAGGCTCTTCAGCTCTTCAACGTGACACCTCCGTGCACATGCTGTCACACTGCTGTACTCTGCCACAGGCACTGGGACACCAGAGTGGGCTCGGAGTGGGGAGGCCCTATCCATAGGCTGTCTCTCTTGGCCCCAGATAATGGAAATTATGGAAGGGTGGAGGGCCTGTCTCTCTAGCCATGGGTGTGGACCTCCCTCAGGCCCTCCTTAGAACAGGCCTGCTATCCTCAAGTCCCACCCCACCCTCAGGTTCCTCACATAAGACAGCCTTCTGGGATTAACACATTCACATCACAGGCAGCTCTGGGGTGAGGTGAAGCAGGGAGCCCTGCTTCCTGAAAAAACACTGGTGTGCCAGCTGTGGGGTGCAGATTTATTACAGAAGGAGAGGAAGCTAGGAAGGGAAAGGACTTGCTCTCTTGGGTCATAAGGCAGCCACCCAGGTCTCCTGCCTCTCAGGCCCCAGCTCTTACCCTCTGCAAAGTTCACTCCTTTGCCACCTAGCCTCAAGGAGCGCCTTTAGCCCCCTCTGTCGGAAGCTACCTGGGCTGACCCCAAAGTCTGGCATCTGCTGATGTGGTTCTGCTGCCCCCTGGTGGCCAGAAGCTCCAGCCTCACCTCGTCTTTTACTGACTGTTTTCCCTTTGCACCCTGGCCACAGCCATTCCCAGGACCTGCACCCTTTTGGCCTTCTCTGGGCCAACTCTACAGTTCAGCTCCAACTTGAGCCCGTAGTTCCCAGGCCCAGGGCAGGACCCACCTTCAGGCTGACCCTCCTCAGCAACACCCACCACCATCTTCCTCAACTGGCCCAGTTCTAGCCTCTGGGCTTTTGTCTACTCACATAAGACAGCCACATACTGCGGGAGGCAGTACCATGGGCTTCAGAGTTTGGGTAGACAAAATGAACACACCACTGTCACAGCTGGAGTGTGGACACACCAATATCAAGAAAGGCCACAGCTGAGGGTATTGGAGCAGAGGGTTAGGAGTATATCAGACTATGTAGGAAAGGCATTTTGCATTTTTATTTTCTGTAAAACTGTAAATAAAATACAAAACCAAGGGACGTGGTGGGGCAGAGACAAAGTGGCCAGGCCCTGGACACTGACTTGTGGTAAGGGATGTGCTGAGAAGAGTCTGGGAGGCACTTGACTACAGGCACTGACTCTACAACCCCAGGGGCAAGAATATATTAGATTTTCATTGATAGGAATCTATGGGGGAGGGGTGTCTGGAGCCAGCCCTCACCCTCCCTGCCAGTGCCTGGTAAGTCCTGATAGTGCGGGGAGAGGGCATGGGGAGCTGGTGGGTAGACAGTTTAGAATGCTGTGCTGGCCATGCTACCGGGCCCAAAGATGCGGGGCAGGGCGTCCAGGGACTCCTCTAGCCGTCGATGGGCAGACTGTCCCTCTTCTCCTGTAATAAATAAGGATGGGGTCAGAGATGGTCCTAGCTTCCTTCCGTCCTCCCAACCCAGCCCCATGTCTCTTATTCCCATTGCCCAAGATGTCCCAGAACTCCACTAGGCCCGTCTCTTTCACCCCCCAGCCATACCACACTGTTGCAGGCTCTGTCGGGCAGCTTCCCTCACAGCTTCGGTGTCCGTTTGGCACAAGTACACCAGGGGCTCAATGCCCTCAGAAGCCTACCGGGAAAGAGCATTAAGTTGGGTCCAGTGGAGCAGATAGTAGGGGCTCAGGGGTGAAGGAGGGAGAGAACGGGTGGGCGGGCTGGCAGGGGTCACCTTGATGCAGCCCAGGGCCAGGCAGCCAGCCACTCGAGTCTGTACATCCTCATCTTCAAGCTGGTCCAGGAAGCACAGGAGGGCCTGCATAAGAGCAGGATAGACTTAGTCAGATACTGGGAACCTGGGACCCCAGCCCTTGCCCTCAAGGGAGCTCTGCCCGACTCACCCTCTCTCGAAAGCCAGGGCCTAGCGACAGGCTCCGGAGCTGGGTGCTGACAGCAGCCATGACCTTATTGTTGCCATGGACAAGCAGAGAGCTGAGGGCACGAAGCCCATCCCTCTTCAGCCGCCCCTCAGGTGCCAACCTCAGAGCCTTCAGCACAATAGCCTGGTCATCTGAGTTCAGATTCCGCACCAGTAAAACTGAAAGAAGGGGAGGTACAGGATAAAATGGCAAAGCAAGGAGCCTCCTAGGGTGGAGAGGCCTCATCCTCATGTCCTCAGACCCACCCATAGGGTCAAGTCACTTTATGATCAGGGCCACTGCCTCACCCTCCTCAGCGGTTTCAGTCACGTAGGCCTCCATGGAGGGGCTGTCCAAGGTTTCAACGTAACTCCAGAACTGGAAAACGGTGAGCTGCTCTCCAGGACCTGGCTGGGGCCTCCTGGGCAGTTTCTGCCCTAGGGCATCCTCCAGAAACTTCACACATACTGCGGGAGGCAGTACCATGGGCTTCAGAGTTTGGGTAGACCCAGGCTTGTAGAGGGAAGAGAATGCTCCCATCCCAGGCTTAGGTCCCAAGGGCCCCTTGTCTAATCCCTACCTATCTGTGTCTTTTTGCTCCAAAGCATGAGCCTTTGCTGTTTTTCTTCAGTGCTCAGCTCTTATGTTTGTATGGGATGACCTGGCTTTCCCTGAGGTTTCTGTCACTGGGGATCTCAGAAAGGATGGAAGGAGGGACAGGTAGGCAGCCCACTCACCAGCTTCAGCTAAGCCTGGCTGGCGCAGGGAGAGACGAGCACCGTACTGGTTGCAGAAGGTGAGAAGCACCTGCTCCACAGGGCAGATGAAGGGGCTGAGTCCCTCTGTACACTGGTCCCAGAAAGTCAGGAAACCTGGCCGAGAGGCTGAGAACTGCACTACTGTGGGGACATGTGAGAAACTGTCAGCAACAGAGCAGGCAAGGAGACAAGACAGGCACATAGATGGGAGTGGGGTACAGTAGGAATTTCAGGACAGATACCTGAGCCCGGGCCCATAGGACCTTTACCTTCCTGGGCAGAGGTGACAGGGACCTCCCATAGTCGGCTGAACTCACATACTGCCTCAAGCACTCGGGCTTCCCGCAGCAGTCGTTCCAGGGCCCATGCCTCCTGGCAGCGCAAGGGTCCAAACGTGCCCAGTTTCTGGAGAAGAGGGATGGCTCAGGATGGGACTTGAGGAGGATGGTGCCCAGAGACTACAAGTCCCAGCGTGCATTGGAGGAGGCTGGGGGGGACAGTGTGGGAAGCAAGAGCTAAGTGCCAAGGCCTTGGGCATTGGGGTGTGGAATTCAGAGGTGGTACAGAGGGCCAGGATTGAAGTGCAGGGGTGAGGGGTTATAAGGGAAGGGTGGGAGAATACCTGGGGTAAGGGGTTACAAGGGAAAGGTAGGGGAATACCACTGGCCTCACCAGCAGGAGGCGACTGCAGTGGTACAGGTGTCGGACCAAGGCAGTGTCTAGAGCTGAACACCCTGTGCTGAGAGGGCGGGCACTGGTTGAGTCTAGGCTGTCCTCAGCCCCAGTCTCCAGGATGCTTGGGGGCCTGAGAGAAAAATGGAGTCAGCCACCCCAGGAGCACACATTACCACCTGGTCACCAGTGCTTATTTTTATTAAACTTCCCCCATCCCAGAATGAAAGAACAGACGATGCATAGACAACAGACAATGAGGTAAGTTCATGAAGGACTTCCAGAAGAATGAAGGGCCTGGGACCAGCAGGTGCTAGCAGGGGTCTCTGCAGTCAATCCACCCTGTGTTACCTCCAACTAGTACTACCAGGGTTGCTGTGGCTGGGATGGGCGGGAGTAGGGCTGCAGGCCAGACGGTCTACGAAAAGTAGACTGCAAGGGATCCGGGGCATGAGGCTGTAACCTGGGCAGCAGCAGAGGGAGGAGGGACGGGGCGCAACTCTCAAGTGGGAGTCGGCAAAGGCCACTCCAGAACTGAGAGTTGGGCCAGGGCTTCCAGGGGAGTCGGGGTGGAGACAGGGTGGTTCGGTGCTGGGGGACCCAGGGTGCATGGGGAGGCACTGAAAGAACTCCTTTGTGGGGCAGGTCCAAGGTGAGGCCAAGGGGAAGAGCAGGGGCTGGAGGCTCACAAGCTGATGGGGACCAGCAGGGGAGGCAGACATCGCAGAGGTGAGAAGGGTGGTCAGAAGCACTGGAGACACAGATGGGGTTGGAGACAAGGGCATCAAGGACACATGAGGTGTACACAGGAGAAGTGAACCTAAGTGTACTTGCCAGCAAGCCCATCCTCATGTACACCACTTCACCTGTTCCCCCTTCTTGCCTTTCTCCCGACTCACTTGTTCCTCCTTTACCTGGCACTACCTCACCTCTTTTCCCTCATCTCTTCCCCCCACCTGGCCCCACCGTATCACCCAGCCCCCTCACCTGTTCTCAGGGCCATTGTTGTCTTCATCTTCATCTTCATCGAGGAAGCTGAAGCTCTCCAAGGCGTGCTCCACAGTGATGCTAAGACTGGAGGCCCGGCTGCGAGTCAGGCCTTGTCTCTGCTGAGGTTGTAAAAGGGGTCAGATCTGCTACCACTGCCTGGCTGCTCTCCCTGAGCTACCCCAGCCTAGTCCAGCCCAGCCCAGCCTTCCTCACCATGAGCAGACTTTCCAGCCGAGTGACCTCCTGCTCCAGGCCCTGCAGCTCAGGGAACTGGCCACGATAGTCATCCAGGGCAGTCATTAGGGCCCCCAATGCCTCCTCCAGCCTCCTGTCCCCAGCCTCTTCAGCCGCCCTTGGGACTGGGGCCTGGGCAGCCATGGCCATGCTACGATCTGAATGCTGGGGTTCAGGGGCTAGGGGTAAGGAAGAAGGGCTTAGGCTCTGAACAGTGGTCTTTGGAGGATCTGGAGCAGAGCTTGTGAGAGATTTCCAATCAGAGCAGGCAGGACTTGGGTAGGAGGTGCTGGCAGCTATGGGACCTGCCTGAGTGCAGGAAGTGGGGGCAAGGGGGCTATAGGGCAGGGGGTCAGTTCCTGGGAGGGTGGGGTCTGAGTGTGCAGAGGGGCTGGGGAGGATAGCAAGGTCTAGAGAAGTGGAAGGACTTACAGCTATAAGGGTGGAGCTTGTAGTATGGGTGGAGCTTGTGGTGGTGTGGGTGGGACTTATGGTGGTCTGGACTAGGTCCATAACATTGGGGGTAGGACTTACAATGGTGTGAGTTGATGTATTTGCTCTGTGGGTGGGGCTTGTGGTGTGGGTGGGACTTGTGGTATGGGTGGGGCTTGTGGTATGGATGGGGCTTGTGGTGATCTGGACTAGGTCCATAGCATTGGGGGAAGGACTTACAGTGGTAGAAGTAGACATCTTTGCTTTGTGGGTGGAGCTTGTGGTAGTCTGGACTAGGTCCACAGAACTGGGGGAAAGGCTTACAGTGGTATGAACTGATATCCTTGCTTTGTGGGTGGGGCTTGTGGTAGCCTGGACTAGGTCTATAGTGTTGAGGGTAGGACTTGTAGGGGTATGAGTTGACATCCTGGCTTTGTGGGTGGGGCTTGTGATGGTATGGGTGGGGCTTGTGGTAGTATGAGTGGGGCTTGTGGTGGGAGTGGGGCTTGTGGAAGTGGGAGTGGGGCTTACAGTGATATGGGTGGAGTCTGGAGTAGTGTGGGAAGAACTTGTGATCTGGACTGTGCCTGTGATATTGGTTTTAGGGCCTGTGGTAGTGAGGGTAGATATGGACTTGTGAGTCGAGCCTGTAGTAGTGTGAATGAGGCTTGGAGCATCGTGGGTAGGGCTTATGGCACTACAGGGAGAACTTGTAGTGGTGTAGGCAGGGCCTGGCACTTCAGAAGGGCCAGAATCTATGGCCTTGTGAACTGAGTCTAGGTGTACAGATGGGGCAGGGTCTGTAGTTGTGGGGACAGGGCCTGTTGTACTGAGGGCAGGGTTTGTGGCAGAATGTTCAGGATCTAGAGCAGGACGAATAGGACTGAGGTGCTCCCCACGAGTGGGATCTAGGTGTGTAGGTGAGCTAAGTCCCCGGGCTAGGCTTTCTGGGACCACAGCCTCCACTGAAGCCTCAGCCAAGGCAGCGTCTACACTGGCCTCACTGATGTGACTCAGAGTCCGGCTGTAGGGCGCATGCCCATTTGCCAGGGCTGGGGCCATGGCCCCCTCTTCATCCAAGGGCCCAGAACTGGGAGTCTCAGGCCTACGGAAGGCAACTTGGATAGGGAGGGGCTCGGGCTGCTGCACCAGGGGCCTAGGGGCTGATGAGTGGCGGGCAATCCCTGAGAGCTGAGGGCTAGATGAGTCGTCAGAAGATTCAGATGACAGGGACCATGCTGTCCCATTCTCCAGCTCCTCTTGCCGCCGCAGCATGTTCTGAGAAAGAGGAAAGGGCATTTCAAGACCACCCCAGGAGCCTCTAGGGGATGATGAGGCCCGGGCCCAGGCTGTGACTCACATAGAAGGCCTGTTCCCGAAGCGAGGGTGTATCTGGTGGGCTCTGGCTATAGGTGGAGAAGCGCTTGGTGACTGTGGAGGCCTTGTTGACAGTAGAAGCAGCCGAGGGCTGGTCATCCTTGTCGAAGGGGCTAGGAAGGGAAGTGACTGTTGGCAAAAGCCACAGCCCTCTTGGCCCTGCCCCCAAGCCCCTCAGCCCCACTAACCTCCATGTGACTTCCAAGCTGAGCTTGATGGTGCCAAGGTCATTGATGTCCACAGCCACAACCTGAGGCAGGGCAGCAAACAGGTCCTTGGTCTCACAGGAGACGCTGCCTACAACCACATGGTTGGCCAGGCCCTTCAGTTCTGTCACCTGTAGCCAAGAATACATGGTGGGGTTACAAGGATGCAAGGCCATGAGATCGTGGTGATTAAAGGTCTGAGTTTACATAGAGCTTATAAGATGGTTTATAGGGCCATGGAGGCCTTGAGGCAGTCTGGGAGCAAGGGGATCACAGAGGTCCCAGTTGGTAGGGTCATTGAGGTCATGGGGGTCATAGCCTCATGGGGGTCCAGGGGGTCAAAAATTCACAAGGTCAGAACATCACGAGGAGGTCACAGGATCAAGAGACCATGATGTCATAGGAGTCACAAAGTTTGTTCTCAAGACCACAGAAATCATAAGGAAACCACAGGGTCATGAAGGTCATGGGGTCACACATTCCCAAGGTCATAGAGCCATGAGGGGTAGTCACAGGAGTAAGGCTCTCAGGGTTATGAGAGTCACAAGGGGCTCACAGGATCTTGATTTCCTGTGGTCCTGGGCAGAGAAATCACCTTGATGGACAGGAATTCCGTGAGCAGAGGAAGAAAGACAGTTTCTTCACTGTCCCACACCTGCTTTCCACTACTCTCAATGCGGCCCCGTAGTTTCCAGCGCTGACGCCCATATTTCATGCAGATCTGGGGGAACAGGCAGGATGAGTCAGCCCTTGGTGTTACGACCCTGCCACCCCAGCCCTTCCCAGCACATCCTAGTACCTCATACTGATCGCCCACACACAGCCTGGCGAAGCCGGCCAGTCCTAGGAGTTGGGGAAGAAGTAGATGAGCCACATTGGGGGTCTTGAACCCACTCCCTCCCACCTCCACAACGCGATACCTTTCATTCGGAGATGAAACTCGCCCAGCTGTGCCTCCAGCTCACTCTCCAGTAGACACATGCTCTGGGAGGGAGGGGCAGGGACATGAGGAGGTCAAGAATCAGTTCTCTCTCACTAGCCCTGCCACACCTGTGCCTCTTCCTCATGGGCACCCATCCCTCACCTCTGTGTACTCACGATGCCCCCGAGTGGCCTCAGCCAAGCTGTCCCGAGCCTCTCGGCTCCCTGGGGACCCAGTGCTATAGGCACGGACCATGTTGTAGGCACCATCCCGGAGACGCCGCTGGACACAATATGCCTCATACAGTTCGTCAATCTGGAAAGGTGAGTGGGGTGGCAATGGGGGACCGAGACTCACCACTGGTGTCACCCAGAGCCTAGTACCTCCCCATCTCCCCATGATATCCCAGTCCACCACCCGACTCTGCATACATGCTGCACACATACCTTGCTGGCATGGAACTCCAGTCGTCGCAGGAAGCGTTCAATGGACTTGACTTGCTGGGGGAGAGGTGGGTCAGGAGGGGCCAGAGGCCCAGGGCCCTTTACCCACCCCCATGAACCAAACCCTTCCAATACCGTTCCAAACACTCACCTTATCTAAGTCATACAGAAAGCCCTGCAGGAGGAGATGAGAAGAGGCACTGAGGAGGACTCCAGCAAAGACTTTACCCACCCAGACCCATTACAGCTCCTCTCCTCCACAGCCTTCCCCCATTCCCTCACCACAGTCCAAATCACTACAGTCGCAGTAGGGACTGAATCCCCTTCCTGCATGCCTAGCCCTTGGTGGATGCTGGTAACACTGATCTGGTCCCTTAGGCCCTTCCAGCAAACCACCCCCCACACACACACACCTCTTCACTGGGCCCCCTTCTCCTGAAGCCCCTAGAGAGTTCTGTACCTCCTCGTGCCTGGTTCCCTAGCCAGTGAACTCCCATTCATCCTTCAAGATCTGGCAGTTTTCCTTCCTCTGGGAAGCCCTAACCTCTTCCCCAGGTAGTATAATGGCTCTCTCAGTACAATGGCTCTCTCCTCAGTACCGCTGCAACGTAATCTCCTGTTGTCCATGTCTATGGGGGTCTGACCTACCCCACTGGAAGCTCCAATGAGCAGGCAATGGGTTCCATGCAAAAAGCATGCACAGCAAATAAATTTGTGGATAAAAGCCCTCTCAGCCTTTCCTGATATCCCCCTTTCTCCTCACACCTGAACAAAATCCCACCAGAAAACAGCCCTGATATCACCCAGGGCTGGTCCTACCCAGCATCTCACCCTCCCACCCCATCACAAAGGGAAAAGGCATTAGTCCAGGACACCCCTAGCTCCCGCCACTCACCAGGCGGGAATTCCTCTTAGATTCCCTTATTTGCTTCTGGAGTTTCTCCTGCTCCTGCTGATGCACTTCCAAGTAGGCCCTGAGGAAAGCAGTGTCCAAGGATTGACTTATCTCTCCAGCCTCAAGCTGCCCAGGGTACAGATAGTAGGAACAAGGTGGGTTGAAGGAAGGTTCCCGTTAGCAGAAAGGGCATGCAGAAGGAGTTGCTTACGTCAGGCCCCGCTTAAGAGCAGCATACACCAGGTCCAGCCGCTCAGGCTGCGGCACCTTGGGGGCTGGGTGAGCCACGGAAAACATCCTGGACACTCGGGAAAGCCCCGGGGTCTTCCGTGGGGGGCCTGGCGGGCTGAAGACCGGGAAGCTCCTGGGAGAAGAGGCTACCCTAAGGAAAGGGTGAGCAGGCGTCCCCCACACCCTCACTACACACCTAATCCCAACCTCATCCAACTCTCTTGACCCTATTAACCCCGCTCCGCCGCGGCGTACCTGGGCCCCCGCTCCTGGCTGCCGAGGACGCCTGCGAAGGACTGGCTCCTACTGACCCGGGCGCTGAGCAGGCGGCGCTGTGGCCGCACCGACAGGGACATCATGGAATGAGTCCGCGCGGGGCTCCCTGGGGGTGGCAGGGGGTGGATGTCCAATACCAGTCGAGTCCTGAAGCCCAATTCCCAAGGCCCCGTCCCAGGGCTGGAGCAGGCCCTTCCTGGTCACCAGGTACAGCTGCCCCAGTGAGCTCCGCCTCGTACTCTCAGCCTCGCCAGTCCCGGCGCTAATGACAGGCCAGCCACAGGCGACTCAGCCTCGGACTCAGCGCGGCCTC